GTACTCATCCCTGCATACATGAGCTCTCTGTACTCATCCCTGCATACAGAAGCACTCGGTGCTCATCCCTGCATACACAGCTCTCCATACCCATCCCTGCATACACGAGCTCTCTCTACTCATCCCTGCTCTCCATCTTTCACACTCAGAAAATTGTGTGGATGCTTCAAGTCTTGTACCTCATTCTCAAATCTGTACTCACCAAGAACAAATCACAAATGACCACTTAACTCACTCAAAAAGAAACTCTTGCTACCTGTCTTATTCTTTGGGACCATTCTTACTGGAATCTCCCTTAGTTTGTGTTAGCATTTAATTGTCTTCTTTATGACTATAATGTACTTAACACCCAAGGTTTACATCTCTTGCTATTATTTCTAAACATTTTGAAACATTAATAAGCTTTTCTCTAGTTTCTGGGTATCAAATGCTTACCGGACAATGAATGTACTTATATGCCCTACAAAGATGTATTATGTGTGTGTCCAAACTCATAGGATGTATAACACTACAAGTAAACCTTAACACACATCATGGGCTTTAGACAGTAACAGTGTGTAGGTTCATAGATGGTACTAAGTCTCACTCTGAGGTATGGTACTGATAATGAAGTTTAAAGTGGGAGGTGGGAAGGAAGTGAATTAACAATTGTATTTTTAGTTCATTTTCCCCTATACCAAAAATTTCTAAAAAAAAAATAAATATTTAAATTCTACTAGTAAAATCCCACTGTAAATTTAGCTCACATCTTCACATCTAATAATGCTACTTTCTCCCCTTTCCTGTTGCAGATTGATCTAAGTGTCGAGTTCCACTATTACTGTTACAAGGGGTTTAACTTCCACATGGATTTTCTCACACACTTGATGTATCAGGAGGCTGATCTCTGTATATTACCAAAGAATGCTCAAACAGGATCAAAAGAATTTTAGAATCGTGCTCATGTTTGAGGCAACATCCTTTACCTTTGCATTAAATCCAAAATGAACGGCCGGCTTCAAAGCCCCTACAGTACCCTTATGGCATCTCTGAAATCGACAGAATCTAGTGTTCAACTAAAATATTCCTAACCTTCACCTGCCCTCAAAAACCATGACATAAGGTGGGCATGGTGGCACATGCTTTTAATACCAGTCCTTGGGAGGCAGAGGCAGGCAGATCTCTGACTTTGAAGCTAACCTGGTCTACAAAGAGTGTTCTATGACAGCCAGGGCTACACAGAGAAACCCTGACTCAAAATACAATACACAACAAAACCATGACGCCAGCACTTAGCTGCTTTTGTGTCTTCTAACACAGCATTCTTGAGTGCCTTTGTTTTAGTTCAACACAGAATGAACACGATGCCACAGAATGAAAAGCACAGCTTGACATTTCTTAAGTTTATTGAATAATTCTTAGCTGGAAGAGGAAAGATCACAGGCTTGAACAGAGTGAAGTGAAAAGAACAATTAATTGCAAATTATTACAAACGTAATTTCTGAAACATTTTCTGAGCCACTGTTAAAACAAAACTCAAATGCATCTCGAAGTTCCTATTTTGGTAAATGAACATTAAATTACTCAAGAGCAAAAAGAAGAGTTACTATTACACATTATAAGACCTTAACGCACTAATTGAGCAAACCCAAACAAATGGCCACAATTATTCAAAGTCGCTTCTACTAAATATTCAGTAACTGAACAAGAATGCGGATTACTTTGAACACGGCACAAGTAACCAAAGGCAGCAAGAATTCAGCAACATATAAGCCTGGCATTAAATAGTGTTCAAACCGTACAGCAAACTGAAGTAAGAACTTGAAGAATAACAGCACTAACTACATGGAAGGAATGTACAGATGGTCAAAATAAATAAATAAAGTGGCAGGAGTGACCAGCACCGCGCCTGCCTGTGCAGAGCAGGCGCACAGTAAACAAGAGATGCCTACAGGGCTGTGCTGACAATGAGAAAAGCGCACTTCGCTTGAGTACGGCCCTTCCAATTCTCAGACACTCTCTCCTTCTTGAGTGCTGGTGACAGGCAGACAGGGTTTTAAATGGAAAGCATTTTCCCTACCCATGTGTAGACTCAACATATTTAAACTCTGTGTAAAGATTTCTCTGAAAAATTACAAAATAATACACTGATTAGAAACTGGTGATAGTAGTTGTGGAGAATAGCAGGCAGTCGCATGGCTCCGGATTCAACGATGGAGAACATGTACCACCACTGTCAAAGCTGCCGGCTGTGAAATGGGTCAAGTATCTGTACTCTCTACACAGCGCATTTAATACATAAACCTCCATACCAGCAACAGAAACCCTTTGCTAAGCAGAATTATAGCAGTAAGAACTGAATTAATTCACATTAAACATCTTCAGGGATAAATTAAGCATTTCTCAAAGTACAAAGACACTATATGTGGTCACTGAAGGCTGCTGTGAAGTCAGCTTTACATCACAAAGAGCCAGCCCATCTCTATTGCCATGTCTTCTGTGGTTCTCTGGTGACATTTCTCAGGAGATACTTTACAAAATCAACATTAATAGCATATAAAATACAAATGTCATTTAAAGTCAACTTAGGCAAAAATGGACACAAACAAATGCGCTTGCTAATTCAGTGTGAGACCGGTCCAGAAGCTCCTCAGCAGGGGTCTCTTACTTTCTTTCTGTCCATCACAACAAGCCTTTAAAATTGGCAAACCAAGAATCAGCTCACTGCACATCACAAGTTTAACATTTTCCAGTAAAATGTATTTCATTAGGAGCAAAGTGTACATAATGGCAGTATACAATGCTCCATTACAAATATGTCAAGAGATCTGTGCGATGGAGCTGCCCCAACAGAGGTGCTCCGAAGACTGAACCCGCAAGCGGATGGAGCAAGTCTGGGAAACCACGGAATGCTTCACAACAGCCTGCTTTACACTGCACCTGGTCCATGGCACTGCTCGACATGCAAACACTTTCTGTAGGGAAACAACCCACACTTCTGCTCGCCCTGCCAATACTTCTACCATTCTCCGTGTTCCTGCACAGAACAGACACAATGTGAGTCCCACTATTCATGTTACGACTCAGGCCAATACCTCTGACTGTTGTCAGCAGCAGGTAGCATTTAAAGAAAGAACACTGGGCATAGAGCAGCTTCACCAAAATGCCAAAGAAACAGGACTATAAGGGGAAGCTTGTCTCAAATGATTATACCATTAACATAAACAAGCCTAAAGCAGTTTCTGTTTTATAAAACCAATATATAGCCATTTCCACTTCAAAGAAATTTAGAACTCAGTTTTGCTGTTAATCTAACCAATACAAACACCCAAATTACATAAGTGCAGTGTGATAGTTCCTTGTACAAGTACAGTATAAGCCCACAACTGCACAAAAGCACACCTGGATATATTTCTCTGCACTTCCCAAAACTGAAAAATATTTGAGAAAACATAGAAAACTGTATGTTTAATGTTGGCCTTGTGTTTCTATGTTAAACTGAGAAAAACTAGAGTTTATAATGTAGTTCTGGAGGTAAAGCAAAGGTGAGGCTTTTTCTGCACAATACATCTCTCCACCATAATTATTAGTTCAGGTCCATCTAAGTACTTCGTAGGTGCTGTCTCCTATTCATCGCAGCTTCTAGGAAAGTCAGAGCTTGGGGAGGGCAGGCATTAAGAGAGAAAAACCAACATCTGCACATCACAGACAACCTGAGACGGAGCCTGGGTCATCTCACTCACATCAACTTGCTTTTCCTCAGATCACAGTAGGGAATGTGGAGGCCAAAGACAATGTGAGGGAACATCACAAAACAGTTAGGTCCGCTGTGCAGGGAGGGTACCTACTATGCTAAAAGAAAATTATTCTTGGGGAAGTACGGATTTTTTGGTCTTCTTCAAAAACCCAAAACTGAAGATCATTATTAGGCTTCTCTGAGTATATTTCCACATTAATTATTAAAATTTCAATGTGTTTTACAACCTGAATTTTCATTTGTTGAATAAATCAAAAAGACAAAATTCTTACAGACAATATTTAGACATTTTATTTAATGTTAACAGAGGGTTTCTAACTGAGAAAACACTAAAGTGAAAGAAAATAAACTAGTGGAGAGGTTAAAGTTTATTCTTGCACAGCTCTCATAACACCTCTCCCCCTCTCCCCTTTCCTTCTCATTCCAGGATGATTGACAGCAGTAGCAAATAACGTCACTTGATGGAAGGCTAAGGAAACTCACTCACAGTGTTCACAGAATTCTAAATCACTATGTGTATGCTAACGAATTAAGTGTCTGAGGAAATCTAGAAGTACCAATAGCTGAACTATGGAAATAAAACTGATCTGACAGAACAGTACATAAAGATTACAAACTTATCAGAAATAAACACAACAAAATGTCAGCCTCTGATTTCTTCCTTGATGTCAGATAAATTATCGTCAGATGCCACTTGCTTCTAAAGGAGCAAAATCATCACTTGGGCCAGGCCAGCCACCTCAGCCCTGTTTGCAGCAGCACTAAGTAGATCCAAACAAAGGCTATCGGGCAACGCCACCAGCCTCAGGATTAGATCCTCCTTCACAGACATTTCTCAGCATCACAACACAACGACATGTACAGAAGAATAAGTAAAGAGAATATTCTGACAAAGATTACAAAAGTATGAACTATATACAGTGTGATGACAGAAAGCATTTAAAAGGCTTCTTACTTTCCTCTCAATTCAATTAAAATGTTAATATTCTGCATTTTAATTTTATTCTAAATATACTAAACATCAGTTTCTTTACTTCCTAAAACAATAAAATATACTGTCTGGAGTTTGCCTTAGGCATTTTCCAAAAGCCAATCGAACAGCGACTTGCATCGTTCCTCACTTGAAGCTCTTTCCAGCACTTCGTAGTATTTAAACACGGCCTGCAGGACATCTCCCACTCTCCATCCTTTCTCTTTCAACTGTTTCGAAAGCTAAGAAAGAAAGATTAACAGACGTTAACACACATCAACAGAAAATGATTTAACAATGATTTTTCATTTTTATCTTAAGACAAAACTGGGAACCCTGCTTTTGACAATGAAATATTCTTTCCCAGTTATAAGATGTCCTCTCAACCACCACTCCTTTACCCAAATTGAACACTTTCCTTTCTTGCCCTTTATTAGCATGTCTCCACAGAATGACACCTCAGGATCTGTGTGGGAGTGCAGTCAAACCGTCTGCAGGAAATTCTGCACCTAACTAAATACATCTGCCACACCCTCAATTAGGAACAGAATAATAACAACAATGTCAAGCTTAATAAAAGGATGTGGATTTTCTTTCCACAACATATAGTGTGGTTTGTATTCCGGAAAACATTCCAGCCTCAACAGAACCATAGCTTCCTAAGTTAAGAAATGTAATGCTTCAACAAAAAAGCAAGCAAAAGAGTAAATGGGTTTAAAGAAACTCTACAACAGCAAAACAGAAGATGGCCTTACTTACTTTTCTGTCTACTCAACTCTGAAAGAATTCTTAGGTTTAAAAAGATCTGCAAAATAAATTCTGAAAAACTATTTTACTACAGATTTTTTTTTCTAAAAACAGCTTTGTGAGATAATTCATAAGCAATGGGTTTTTGGTATATGAATGAACTGAAGACAACTACCACACAACCAATACTGGAATGCTCTCTCCTTACACAAGAAGGAGCCCTCTCCATCAGAAGCCCCTCTCTTCATCTTCCCCGGCACCCTCAGATAGAGCACTCATCTACTCTGTGCCTTACAGGTTTGCCTGCTGGGGGGCATCTTACAGAAATGAGCTGTGCACTCTGTATGGCTTCTGCTTAGCAGAGTTACCTTGAGGGTTTACCATGGCGTAGCACCTTTTACCACTTTATACCAGCCAACAAAGCTCCTTCTCTATTCATTAGCTGATGAATAGGTGGAGAATTCTCTTTGTTTTGTTCTGGTTTGTTTGTTTGAGACAGGGTCTTTCTACGTATCCCTAACTTTGCCAGAACTTCCTGTATTTAACCCAAGGTAGCCTCAAACACACAGTAATTCTCCTGCTTCTACTTACAGAGTTCTGGGATTAGAGGCCTATAACACATTCTTACTTCGTACCTACTATGAATAATGTTGCCATGGACATTTCTGCACAGGTTTTTGTTTTTTACGTCCTTCAGGTGCACACCACCAATCAGTGGAATGCTGGGTAACATGGCAATATTGTACGTTGGCATTTTGAGGATCTGTCAGATGTTCTCCACAACAGCTTCACCATTTTAGATTCTAATAACTGTAGGAAGGATGCAGTATCTCCACATCCTCCTACACTTGGTAGTACCCACCATGACAGTTACCCTGTTGAGTGTGAAGAGCGCAGTGGTTTTGATTTACATTTTCCTAATGTTTTTATTTTCCAAAGATATGCAGTATACTGGCTGACTTTGTGTCACCTTGACACAAACTAGACCTGTCAGAGAAGAATGAGCCTCAGCTGAGGAGTGCCTCTGTGAGCTCTAGCTGTAAGGCATTTTTTCAATTAGTGATCAATGGGGGAGGGTCCATCCATGGTGGGTGGGGTCATTCCTGGGCTGGTGGTCCTGGGTTCCATAAGAAAGCAGACTGAGCAAGCCAGGAGAAGCAATTCAATAAGCTGTGCCCCTCCATGGCTTCTGCATCAGCTCCTGTCTCCAGAATCCTGCCCTGCTTGAGTGCCTGTCCTGACTTTCTTCAATAGTGAACAGCAATGTGGAAGTGTAAGCCAAATTAACCCTTTTTTCCCCCAACCTGCATTTGGCCATGGTGTTTCATCACAGCAACAGAAACTCTAAGAAATGTAGTAATAACTCTTAGTCCATTTTTCAGACAGACAGGTGCCCTTCTATTTTTAAGATGAAGAAGTCTTTTATATGTGTTAGGGCTAAGAATATTGCCAGATACACAACTGCAAGTGTTTCCTTCCACACACTGTCTTCTCATTCTGATGACAGCGTCTCAGGATAAATCTTTACTCTAGCTTCTCTTTTGTCACTTACATAAATATGTTTATAACTTCTTGACACAATTGTATGGCATCTTCCATTTATCCTCAAGGTAGTACTGTTTGTTCTATTTAATAGTGAAAATATCAAAATTAAATATATGACCCAGAAAGACATAAAGTATTTCTATTATTCTCATACCACCAAACATAATCTGAACTTGCTTCTTAACTGTTTCATATATCCCCAGTAGCCCTGTGAAGATATATGTATATATAGTCATATACACATTTAGTTAAATAATATATAAATATAGTATCTACATATATAAAACAGTAGCCCTGTCCTTGCAAGATATGATCTCTGAAAGTCATTATTTAAAATTAGCCACATGGTTAAAATTAGCCACAAGCGTAATAAACCTTGCCATCACAACTGAGCACTGGACTTGACTCAGTCAGGCAAAGATCCCTGGGTTAGGCCTCCTCAGGCCTCCGTTCTAACAGCTCCCTGACCCGCACTTCCACTTGACAATTCATGTCCTGAGCACCTCTTCCCAGACTATTTCTCCTCCTACAACAGAAGCCTCACACTAATAAACCCCAGTCTAAGTAAAAGTCAACGTCCGACTGTTCACCCCTTTCAGACGTCTTCCAACAATACTGTCATATTCTGAACCAGAAACTAAGAGTAACTTGGGTTTTCCTTTTCTGTCTTTATTGATAGATCTATATTGGTTATTCCCTGGACTGTTTTATAGCCTATGGTAAGATTAATATATTTTTTCATAAGGAAAACCAGGGGAGAAACACTCGTAAAACTACAATCTGAAAATCCCTATTAACACAATGCTTGGTACATATTAAAAATACTCAAGGAAAGTTTCCTAACTACTCTGTTATTGGTTTTTCATTATACCAGCCTTTTATTAGCGTGAGATAAGAAAGACCTAATTAATTAGGTACAATTAAGAATCATTAAAATAGAATAGCTGGATCTTTTATAAAGAATACATTAGCTGCTTATTACTGACATTTAAATTTTAGGGTTAGAGTATTAGATCAAGCACTTCTTTTTAAAGTATTATAATTAATCCTCATAAACCTGTAAGGTAACTCTGTATCCTCTGATCCCACTAAGAAAACTGAGGCATTCACTGACTCCCCTCTCCAAGGTTACACCTACTGGAAAGTGGAAGGGCTGACTTCTGAATCTCAACTGTGAGATTCCACGGCCTACGTATTAATATTGTGCAATCAGCAAGCATCTTGCTAAAACCAACAATGTGGTAAGATTATTACACAGAGTTACTATTTTCTCACAACCACTCTAGAAGGGAGGTACTTACTAATATAAATTCCTTCTTTGAAGAGTCATGAAAATAAAGTTCTTCAACTTCAGCTTCAGAGGCAACAAGCCACTGCAGAATAATCCTTAGCTGCGGATCTACTGCTCCTGGTTCCAGGTCAATGTTCATGATTAGCATAGTCTTTCCATTCTGTTGCATATCTAACAATAAATTTAAACAATATGAAGTGAAATTCATCAACTCAACTTTCAAAATTCTGGTTTCAATTTAAAGATTCCAGTGAATGCTTTCCTTAGATATACCATAATGCCAAATAAAGCATTTCTTAAGGGCAAAATAATGCTTAAAACAAAAGAATAACATTGATTATTTACTGATGGAACAAATGTAAAGTATTGTTTGAAGTGAATTTAAATATAATACAAAAGACAGGGCTCTCAAGTTTATTCCCTTGTTAATGAGAATGATGCTTTCAATCCAGAGGAGATAGCCTAGCTGGATGATGGAACCAACACCATGTTGGATACTCCTGCTTCCGGATGACTGAGTACAAGAAGTATCAGGGGCATGCTGACAGTCTGCACACCAGTATGTACTAATACTGGAAATGTTGATGGAGTTCTTTGTTGTTGGCGGACATTTTTCTGCTATATGGAACTCTAGACCACTACTAATCATTTTTATAATTTGTGTCGACCCTTTATTTTTAATTCACAGTATTCTTAGAAATTTATCTTTTCTTCCTTTGTGCCAGTTAGTCTCAATCAAGAGTATGTCTAGTGTATGTTTCCTTTCTTATGCAGAATCAACATTTAAAATACGTACATGTATACATACATGCACATGTGTATGTCTGCATGACTCATGAAGGTAGAAGGAAGACTACCGAGAGGCAAGGAAAACTAATCTTAAGGGGGAGGGAAGCAAGGGTAATGGGAGTCGTGTGACGTGAGCAGAAGGGAAGATCACATGTTAGGGAGAAGGACCACAGGGAACGAGGGACAATGAGAGAAAGTATGATATGTATTCAGAAAACACATGAAATCCATCCAGGATTTTACATGCTAAACATCAAGAACTAATTTAGGAAACGGTTTGTCTGTTTGCTTTAAAGGAGGTCTGATATACTATGGAGCAAGACACAGTGCCTAAGACCCTTAGTAAAGCCTGCGGTGTTTCTGGGATTGGTAGCTAGTCACTTAATGCTTCTCTACAGGGCTAGAGTTTCCTTGGTTAGGGCCTGCTGGCTGCCACCTGATGGGAAACTTCAACAGAGGTTAGGGCTGATGCCTCCTAACCAAAATAAATTAACAGGAAGGAAGGGAGGGAGGTTTAAAAAGCAGGTATCTGTTGGTGTAGGAATTCCCTAATTTTGAAACTGTAAATCTAAATCAATCTATCTTCTAATGAAACAAATTGAGAAGCTGGATGTAACTTCGTATATGAGCGATGCCTATGATGTCAAGAGCTGAGGAATAACACAGCTGCATATAATTAACCTCCGGGTTTCTACTTATTAACATAAAAAATTCTTAGCCCCACTGATAAATTCTTTTAATGATTATTTTATTCATATTAACTTGCACCTCTTCTCTTTATCATTCCTCAGCAAAGTTAGTTAAGTAAAAACTAGGTAATAATAATAATAATAATAATAATAATAATAATAACAGTAATAACATGGCATGCATATGTTCATGGATAGTCTTTGAAAGAATTATATCCATTAGAGTTATTAGAGAGAATATGACTTTTAAAGGCCAACATACTAATGAGCAAAAGTAAAGCAAATATTACCTAGATTATTACTAATTCTAAAAATTATAATAAGGGCTTGAAAGATGACTCAGTAGCTAAGAGCACTGGTTGCTCTGGCAGAGGAACCAGATTTGACCCAGCACCCACATGGTAGCTCTTAACTGTTTGAACTCCAGTTTCAGCGGAATCTGATGTTCTTTTCTGGCCTTCTTGAGTACTACACATACAGATGTAAGCAAAACATCCATTTGCATAAAATAAAGATAAAACTTTATTAATAATCTAGGTTAGTTGGATGGCTCAGCTGGTAAAGGCACTTTTGTCAAGTTTGACGGCCTGAGTTTGAATCCTACGTCCCACGTGGCAGGAGAGAACTGACTCCACGTGAGAAGCATGAACAGAGTCAGTCAAGTGTTCACAGCTATGTGTGCACATGCATGTGCACCATGCAAAACAAATAAATGGAATTTAAAATTTTTAAATAGTAGTAATCTTAAATCTGAGAATTTTGGCTTAACAACTATTCTGCAACTTCCCTGAATGAGAGCACTGTGGGCAAACTGGCTGGAATTCAGGGGTTATACCCTCTACTCAAGAAATCCTCTGGAGCATTTGTCAGTGTCTCAGTCATTTGACTGTGTCAGCGTCATTTGACAAATGTAGCATTTATGAAATGCTACATTTGTGGCATGCAGGTACAGGGTTGTACTCATAACACAGAACACACAAAGCCATCCTGAGCCTTCAATTTTCTTATTTCTAAAGAAACAACAAAATTTCAATAGTTCAAAAAATATTAATAATTATATTAAATTATTATATTATATTTTTATTATAATATATAATATAATTATAATAAATATAATATATAAATATTAATTATATTTTAAATTCAGATGTGCTGTTTCATAGAAACCATTACCATTTTCATACTTTAAGAAAGTAAGATATGAGGAGGGCATCCAATAACTATCTGAACACAATGAAAACAGGTTTGATGTGAATGAAGTCTCTAGGCTCACTTGGATATTTTAGTATATGAATTAAACTCACAAACCATGTTCAAAATGCTGCAGTCAATGATATCTTATGTTGGCATAGTAAGAACTCTATTCACTGAAGAAAGGATTACTTCCTTCAAATATGTGTATGTGTGAGTATAGAAATAGAAGAGAAGGGAGGGAACATTTAAAGTGCCTTTCCATGTTTACTTTTCAGCTCACAAAAATTTGAGGAAAAATACCAATTCTAAGTTACTAATTTGAAGGAAAACATAAAAGATACAGTTTGAATGAACTTCTGGTCCCCAGGTAAGTGGCACTGCTTTGGGACATTGTGAAATCATTATTATTTGGGGCCTGACGGAGGCAGGCCCCTAGGGGTGGGCCTTTGAGTAGTACAGCCCCTCTGACCCTCCTCCTGCCACCAGCTCCCACTGCCATGCACCCTGCATGAAACTCCTTCCCTTTCTGAAAGCACTTTGTCACAGCCACAAGAAAATAACTAAAACACAGAGTAATAAATAAAATGCTGTAATTACAATAAATTAATTTTGTAACATAAGGATTTTAGATTTAAATTTTGGAAAGAAAAAACATATCCTAAGTTTCTTTCTCAAACTTTTTATTTCTGAGACGGGGTGATTTGTGTGTTTCATACCAACAATCCAAAACCCATCTGTAAGGGGCACAAACACAAACAAAGGCCTAGAGAAGCAAACGGTGACTGACCTTCCACACCATCCTCCTGACCGTCATCTCCATCATCTGGTCCATCACTTTCCAAAGAACACAACAGAAGCAGTTAAAAAGAAAAAAAGGCTTAATTAGTAATGGATTAAACCACTTCTCAGAAAAGTAGTAAGGAATGAAATGTTACAATATGACATATGACATTTAGAAAGAAGGAAATGAAAATCAGAACGAAGCTTTGCTTCTCACATTATTTCATGTTAAAATACAGGTTGCACATAGTGCCTATAGAAGCCTCTCTTTATCATGACATTTAAAGCCAAGCAACTTCAAATGAAGGTGAAATATTCTAATTTGGTTTTAAGCAATATACTATTTGAATATCACAGAATGTCATGAATAATGAAGTATTACTGCTTCTACTAATGCCACTTAATATGTTTCAAAACAATTTTTCTACTTACTATATATGAATTTAAACTACATAGGAAAATGAAACAAAAAAACAACAGAAATCCTGTAGGAAGCAAGCTCTTTTTAATGAAATCATTGGTAGAATGAAAAATAGCAAGCAGAGCAACCCATGCAAACAGTCACACATTTTGCAATTAGATGTCAGTCTATTTTAGCTAGTTGAAATTTTCATTAGATGTAAATGTATCGAGCAGAATTATGTCAAAATTCAGGAGAAAAGCAGGTTAATACATATTGGCTCTCTTAAGAACATGACATCATGCATTAGTGGTGAAAGACTCATCAGTTTTTAAGTTTCTAAACTGGACCAACCTGTCTGATGTTGGAAAGGATAAATTGTCCTCATACAAATCTCCTTCTAAACCAAGACTGCTCCAGCTACTGCTGTTACCATTACTGCTGGAGGGAGAAAAGAACAGAGCTGAACTAGAAGACGAATAGTGAAGACCACCTGTGTTTCCTGGAGACAGCGTCTGTGGAGCGGAGCACCCACAGTGGGGACACGAGACTGCCACTGCTATTCCACAGGGGAAGTGGCAGGGCTGCAGACTAGGGAGTTTTTTTTTTCCTAGACAGCATTTCTCAGTGTAGCTTTTCCTGTGTAGGCTGTCCTAGAATTTGCTCTGAAGACCAGGCTGGCCTTGAACTCAAAGAAATTCACCTGCCTCTGCTTCCCAAGCACTGGGATTAAAGGTGTGCTCCACCATCACCACTTAGGGATTCTATTCAATGTCCTCAAAACATCATGGAAGTATTTTAAAAGTTTATTTGTTTTGTAGACAAAGACAACAGAATTTTTAGAATGACAAATGATAAAATATATATCTCACAGCAAATATTAACATGTAATTTATAAAAAACAAAAACAAAAAGGCAATATACTTTCCTACTTCTCAGTTTGGATAAAATTTAAAAAAAAAAGAGACCTAAGTTGAGGTCTTCTGGTATTTCTGAATAGTAGAAAACAATGATAGGTGTGGGGGAGAATGCCTCAAACAGTCCTTGCTCATCACATCGCTATGCCAATTACCTATTTCTTACATTACACACATGAGCAGGTGACAAACAGCACATATTTTCTTCAGAAGAAAGCTAGAAGAAGCAGGGCTTATTTAAGCAGTACACTTGGCTGGCTGGCCAGTCAAAGCCACACATAGCTCTACCTTCTTCTATTACCTAGCCAAAAGAACAAAGAGGCAACTCTATCTACAACTGCAGCAAAGCGTTGTTTGCAGAGGGAAAAAAGCAACCATATTCAAAAACAAAATTACAGTATATTGTTCAGATTAAAATTTTCAAGATGCAACTTAAAAATTCTAATCATTCCTAATTATTAAAATAATTAGTAAGCACATTAGTTCGCAGTGACAAGCAGCTTTACTTCCTACTCTCGGCTGGTCAATCATAAGTCATCATCTATACAAACCTGAACTTTGGTTCTTTAACATCAACTCACTTCTTGTGCATCAGTAAGTGTTGTCAAGGTAACCAAAGTCATGATTACTTAAAATAAGTAATTTCTAAGCATTTTCACATAATTTACTTACCCATTTTCACTTTAACAGTATCAAACTTTCACAAATTACAATGCATTAAAGAATAGAAATAAAACTAAGTCATCTTTTCAACATATCCTCAAATATAGTTCCATTATAAAACCATAAAGACAAAAGACCAAAGTCTGTCATTAGGCAAATGAAAATACAGAAAATACAGTAGCACAGAACACACAACTATAAACAGAAAAGAGAGAACGATCTCAAACCCTATCTTTTACTTTAAAAAAATGATTCTCTAAACAAAGAAAGACACAAAAGTAAAATTTTTCCCATAATCTATAAACAATAATTTTTCAATCTAGTTAGTAATAAAAATCCATCATTTAAGTATTAGATAAACATGGGAAGTAACAACTGAATAACAGAAAGAATAAAATGCTCTCTCCCTACTGTATTCAATATGTGTCATGACCATTTAGAAGCCAGGCAGAACAGTATAATCCACAGCCTATAATATAATCCATCCCAAGAGGCTGAGGGAGAAACTTCACTTTAAGACCAGCCTGAGCTACACCACAAAAGCCATTCCCCTCAAAAAGAATTAAAATAAAACCAAACCAAAAAGGCACACTGGGAATAACAAAATAATGTTAGAAATATGAACAGACTGCCAAATTGAGAATTTCCAAATAATAATGTAAACCTATTGCTCACTCTGCTGAAGTCTGAAGACCTTTATCACATACTTAGCTATTAAATCAGAGTTACCTTTCACTGAGATGGTGAAAACTGCTGCTTTCATCTTGATGGTCATCCTCAAAACTTAAGTTGGACCAGCTACCAGTACTGTCCTCACCAACACTGAGATTCAGTTGTTGGCTGCCAAATGACTCCGTTGATGGAAAATCTTCCATTTCTTTTGAACTAAGAAAACAGCACATGATAATAATTTTAAAAATAGCACCATAGATTCTGATAAGGAGGCAAAAATGATAGAGATGACTCTATGAAATTATATTCCAAGTCACACCGACATCCCCCGAACTCTTCACTGCACTCGCAAACAATGAGAATGAAGAACAGCAAAGCAAGAGCCACACTGCTATGCAGGGACATCCTGGGTGTCACTCTCTACGTTCTGTCTAGAGCAGTTCACTCTTCTCAGAAGTGCACCTTACTCCAAGGCCTAAGCGCATCACCTGCATCACCTGCTGTGAAAATAGTACCTTCATTTGCATCTGAAGGAGACACCTTCTGGTTTTTAGAACAAGAAAAATTTGAAATTCTAGTTGTGTCAACCTAGCCTATATTTAAACTAGACAAATCTCTTCAGAACATGAATCATAAACATCTCTTAGCAGGGAGTGATGGCACAGGCCTTTAATCACACCACTTGGGAGGCAGAGAAAATAGATCTCTTTGAGTTCAAATCCAGCCTGGTCTACATAGTCAGCCAAGGCTACATAGTAAAAAATTATTTTTTTAAAAGAAGGGACGTTCATATTTTTATGACATGATATAAAAAGCCCATTTAGAGCAACTATAATAATTATCCCATCTGTATGTATGTGTGTGTGTATATAAATAATGTGTGTGTGTGTGTGTGTGTGTGTGTGTGTGTGTGTGTGTGTGTGCGTATTCAACACAGTTCTCAACAGTGATGCTTTATGTATGCAGAGAAAAACTATCAGTTTTCCGATCAAACCTACCTTTGGCTTCAAAGCAATCATGATGTCCACTTTCTCACCTACAATCCCCCAAGTCACTCAACACAAGGTCTCCACTGCCTCACACACATGCACTCCAACCCTTCGCACGGATCCCAGCGCCCCCAGATTCCCAATCATTTCTTCTATCTTCACTTCTGGTTCTTGGCTTAAGTGATACGCCATTAGTTTTGTTTCTCTGCTACCCAATTCAAAAATGCAAGCCAGCCCCAACAGTTCTTGCTCATCTCTGCTAACAACACTCCCTTTCTTAAGGAACTTGCAATATGTATTTTTTAAATATTTCTTTTAAATTATAATTACAACATTCCCCCTTCCCCTTGTCTTCCTCCAATCCCTCTCATATACCCCTCATCATCTTTCAAATTCATGACTTTTTTTCATTTATTGTTGTTACATACATATATGTATATGGACAGACATACACATTTCTAAATACAGAAATTCAAGCTGCTTGTCTGTATCATAGTCCTTGTATGTTTCAGGGCTAACATTGGGTGTTGCATAACCAATTGATATGCTTCTACCTGGGGAAGACTCTATCTCCCACTCTCAGCATTCCTGTAGGTCTCTGTACATACGGCTGAGGCTTCCTGGGCATCTGCCTGTCCACAATAGCATGCCTATTGCTGTCTTTGTTCAGCTCATTTATCTGCTGTTTGTCTTATTCTTCTATAATATAAGCTCTTAGAGAACACAGATTTTTTTTTTAAAAAAAAAAATCTGTTTTCATTTCTTGTATATCCCTAAAATCTAAAATAAGCCCTGAACTGCCCCTGCCCACTCTACCTTTTTGGCAATTCTCACCTTGTATTTAAGATATAACAACTCAGTTAAGTTCGGTATTCCAAACATAGCCATCCTGCACCACAACTTCATTTTATTTAACAAATTTTCCTCTTACCTACCACTTTTTATTTTTTTCTAAAACAAAATGACCCACAGGAGGAGGCTAAAAGAGTGGTTTCTAATGACTTAGGTAAATGGGCTCATAGTAATGGAAAATAAAGTCTATATTATTGTTCTAAAATTCCTCTATAGTATGCTTTCCTATTTGATATTCATATAGCACCCTGGTGAGCTAATATTATAGGTTTGTGACATTCTACTCTATATTCTACTATGATTACCTTCATTAATCAAACATTTATGAGAAAAGGAACATTAGTGAAACCATTCAGTTAATATCCTAGCAAATAATCTACTTGAATCAATCATTCTTCAACATTAAATCATTGTGGCTTTATAAAACTGTGATACAGAACTCCATACAACCACATGGACTTTGAAAAGTGCTTAGAGAAGTCTGGTACAAGTGCTAGAATAGAAACAGGAGCAGAAGTACAAAGAAAGTCTGTGCAAATATCAGCCTGGATAAACACAAGCTTACAGGAAGAACTCAAGGCATATCATTAGCCACGTCTATAGAAGAAAATGAATATTCTGAAGAAAGAATAGCAGAGTTATTTGCCAGGTCCTGGAGTGAGAGCTTAGGAACTTCCACTTAGCTTCCTCTTACGAAGCTGCTCTGTTGGGGAGGAAGAATAAAAACAGTTCAAGGGCACATGTAGAAAGCTTCTTCTGCCACAGAACAGACGTTAATCTCACAGTAGTGAACATACGACTCTAAATTTGTGAATAAAATTCACCTGTTTCTTTAATTTTACCTGCTTCTTAGCTCCGTAAATTTGAGGTCATTATTCTCTCACTCATCTTCCAGCCCTGTAAATGGATGATACTGTCCCTCAAAAAGGACAAATACTTCACATGACAACCATGCACAGGATATGAAGCCATACACAAATGGACAGAGAGGAAAAGTTAGCTTTTCATTTTATCACAAGGCCCCAGTGGAGATTTGAAACCTACCTGCTACCAACATGCTCCGCATCTGTCACAGCTGATGTCATGATTTCTGTGGTAAGACTCTCAGCAAAGCTAATGCCATCTTGTCCAATGCCACTATCAGCTGCCAGGCTGGTATTGCTCAGCTCTCTTTCTGCTTTTTCAATAGCTTCAGCAACTATCTTCTCTGCAAGCACTGCCCTTTTATCAAGATTAACATGAATCTGAGGCACATCAAGATGAAAGACTCTCGATTTCAGATGGATGCTACTAAGTTTCGAATGTGAGCCTGACTTAGCACTTGCACACACACTCTGCTTTAAAGGGGGCTGAGAGGGACTTCTTGCACAACCATGACGTTCCTTAAGGTCACAGTATCTACAAGCTCCATTCAACAGTGGTGACAATTTTTCTGCATAAGTAATTCTATCTGCCGATGCTGTGGTCTCTGGAATGTGGGAAACTGTAGGTCCTAAACTTAACTCTAAAGTGTCATCCACTATTTTTCTAGCATACTGTTCTACAGCTTGAATATTCTCCCCATGACTATGTCCACTTAAACTGCCTGTATTCTGGCAGAATTCATGGTTTTGCAATGGTCGATGAGACTTCGAAAATTCTGGTTCCACAATACTCTCACCCTTGTCAATACATCCAGATTTTTCAAAAAGACAAGATTCTGTTAAGGATTGTGGTAAGTCAACTGTAGGTGCTGTTAGCTGTTTCTTCACATCTCTTGTTATGATGTTAGCAAGAGAAGCTGAAAAACTGTGTAGTTCAGAAAGTTCATTTCTACATGGATCCTGTGTCCGTTCACATGGTTGGTATTTGCAAAGATGGCTGCCATTTCTTTTTCTTTGTCTTTTTTTATCTACTTCCTGATGATGCTCTTTATTTGAGGACATCAACAGTTCCTTGTTTATTTTCACATGAGAATTGTGCAGTGAAAACATTTTTGAACTGCACTTCATTTTTACTGTCTTAGCTGCTTCTTGCACTCCTGACTTGACAGATCGATAAGCCAGTCTACTGGCATACTGGTCCATGATTAGCTCATCATTGCCACCTTCCTGTTTAAGCACTTGGATAACATGACCTGCGTATTCATCAGTCACACTTTCACAACTGGGGTACCTGTATGTCAGACCTGGTGTACAACTTGGTAAGGAAAGAACAAACTGATCTACTTCTCCCGGGTATGCAACATTCTCCACATTCAGCTTCTCTCCTTTACCTCGGTCAACATCAACATGACAACTGTTCCTCTCCTGCCTGAAAAGCGTACAACTTTTAGTTTTTGCAATTTTCGTGGCTTCTGCAATGACATCAGCTACCATATCACTTGCAAAACTGCATGCCGATATGTTTTCATCTGAATGATTTAAAGAAGTACATAGCACACTTCTTTGAGTCTGCACATTTAAGTGAGGGTTTTGAACCCTGGATTCTTGAGCGCTTTCAAGATCTAAATGAGAGGCTGCCATTTCAGTTGCAAGAGAAATGATTTGTGTAGCTAATACTTCTGCAAACTGAACTTTCTTCCCTGAGTACTCTGACTTCACATCCATTTCTGGGTGCTCTTCACCTTCACTGCTCTCAACTTCTTCTGAAAGAGATCGCATGAGTTTCAACATGAACTCTTCTTTTTCTATAGTATTCTGTTCATTCTCAGACAAACTACCAAGAGAGGAGTTGTGAGGGGTAGAAGGTGGTGTTGCAGGTGCAAATTCTTTGGCTAACTCCCCCTTGAGCTTTTTGGTTAACTTTTTGATGTCCCATTCTGAACTAGTCTGAGATGGTACTAAAGGAGTTGATGGCGGGGTATCAGGTATTACATTTCTGTCTCTGATTTTCTGTTTATCTTCTACATGCAAACCATCCACACAAGTAAGCACTGCAGATGACAAAGCATGTGAGTGACGGAAAGAGTTTTCTTGTCCAAAAGACAAGGGCTCAAGTGCAGCGTTATTTAAATTATGCCTGTTCACTGGCTTATCCTTCACAAGTTCCTTCAAGTCAGATTTCTGACCTGTCATCATTGGACAAGGTGGCAGTGTCTCTAAAGAAAATCCAAAGCCCACAGAATCTTTACATTCTGGAACACAATGGTTTCCGACCAAGAGTGAACCGTGAGGTAAGTGATCTGGAAAGTCACTGGGAGATTCCTCCAAGATTAACTGTGATTCTTCCCCAAGAACAGGCATGCGTTCCTTACTAACTGTTTTGTTACCTATATTTGGAAGCATTGATTTGCTTTTATCCAGGGAATGTTTAATAATAGACTTTGATAACTGCTCAGCAAACATGTCCTTATTGCTAGCTTTGCTCTGTTGTGGTTCTGCTTGGTCACAAAGGGAAAGAGGACAGGCTTTTCCCCTTGCTTTAGTTACATAATTTGCATGTGCATCAGCAGGTTTTGTAGCTTTGAAAGTTGTTATGGACTCTAAGGACTCACTGACTATTGTATGTACCATTCCTGCAGAAAAGTTGCTAATAATCACAGGGCCACTAGTTAATTCTGAAGGACTCTGTATGTCAGTGTCACCGTTGGTTGGCTTGAAGTCTTTCTGGTTACATGGGTTAAGTTCTGAAGGTAGAAGGGTATTTCTGAGACAATCCACTTCATCTTCACTGTTTTCTGTGGTGATGTGCTCTTGGGTAGAACCACCATTTGCTTTACTATCCTCTGATAAGAGATGAGATTTGGACTGATACAAAGTAGATGAAATATGATATGGGAGAAGGGCACTACCTGCCAAGGGTACTGGTATAGAAGTGACAATTCCTGAAGTACAAAACAAGGCCTGCTGCACCGTGTATTCCTTCTTATGTTCCTGTACTGGTTTTGTCATCATAACTGCTTGAGGGCTAAGGGATGAGGAAAATGTGACAGTCTGTGTAGGCGGCACTACACTTTCTGCACTCACACACTTGACATTACCCATAGAAACATTAACTGCTGCCTTCGTTGTAAAGGTCATGTCTGTCTGTGACAGTTCTATGAAGGCTTCTTGTATTACAGATTCAGACAAATCTTTGGCATAAGACTTCACGGCTTTGTCTTCAAAGTCAAATGACGGACACTGTTGAGATGCAGGTGTCGGAGGACATGAAAACTGACACACCTCCATGATGCCTTCAAAAACAAGCTCTTCTGCAAGGTCTGCGGCAAACCTAGCAACTGTGTTTGTAAACATCTGCTTTTTCACGTACTGCAAATCTTTCAAGGCATTTGATAAGGCTTCACTCACCAAAAAACTAGCCAGGCTACCAATGGCTCGTTCTTTCAGTGAAAATGCACACTGCCTTCTAAGTTCATTAAATGCCATTTGAAAAACAGATGATGTCAATTTAACAGCCAAGTGGCACAATGCATTGGTACATGAAGAAACTCCTTTCTGTAAGTCTTTAAATGCACTGCCAAAGCTTTTTCCTACAAGATCTGCTGCAAACTTCTGAACGCTGTCTGTAATCATTGAAGATTTATTTTTACAATTACTTTTTTGATCAGAACTCACAGGCTTAAAAGCTACAGTATAATTTTCTTCCCTTTTAATACTATTAATATCTGATACTGCATTTGCACACTGAGTATGAAGAACTGAGCCTAGTACTTCACATGAAAGATTATTTGCATAATCTTCATAAGTACAATAAAAAGGATCCTGATTTTCATGAATCCTATCTCTACCAGTATCCATTTGGCAAAAACATTCAGCAGGAGTACAGGTTCCAGGAGGGCTAAAAGCAGAGGCTCGAATAGGGCTAAACAAGCCACTGTCTTCTGACGCCATCACTGGACGAGGGGAATCTGGAGCATCACACAGGTGACCAAATGGAGACTCAGGTTTTCGTGGAGTTGGCTTTCTAACATTAGCTGGAAGAGCTGGACACTCAAACTTGAATTTCTGAGGATTCATACAAGATTTCTCATGTCTATGCCCTATCTTCTGTGATGGCTTCCCCATGCCAGGATCTTTCATAAATGGACAAGAAGTCTCTAAAGTTTGCTCTAGTTCATCAAATTGATCAAAGCTATCAAAAAATTCGCTCACTTCTGAGTCTGAATCCTCTATATCATCTTTTGTCACAGGGATTTCTGGCAGCTCAAGTTTTGCTTTTAAACTTTTTTGGTATCCCTCTTCATCCAAAAAAATTACAGGACTTGGGCTGGAGCACTCAGACTCCGAGGAGTTGGCAGGCGAAGGAGGAAGGATTATCTGCTGTGTGTCCCTGCCTTTATCTGAAGCACTGGGTGACCTGTAGAGACTTCTTTGTGTCCAAGGCTCTGAAATTGATGTTGTAACCGATGTTTTCACAGAAGATGCTTCTTTGTGTCCTGGAACATGTGCTGAAGACGAAGGCTTAGCCAATGACCTCTGTGGTCCATAACTGACCAGCACTTTAAAATCATGGGTTTCTAAATGGTGACCAGAAGTAGTTTGAGAGGCAGCATCACAGTGGCTCCTTAGTGTAGCAAAATTTATTTCTAATGGGAAAAAAAATATAAAGTTCTTATGTTACTCTTAAAAACTTGTTTTAAGAAACTGACATAAAACAAATTATTTACATCATAAATGTTTCCTATACTATAGTATTAAACAGAAATTTCATTCTCCCTAACACCCAGGAACAAATGTACCTTTTAATAAAACAATCCCATTTTACCCTATGCCTTCAAATATATGACCTATGGAATGCTCAGCACATTGTCATTTATGTTAGAAAAATTACTTGTAACTGCCAGTTAACTGTTTTGACATTTGAACATGGCAAAGTTTCAGAGAGTAGGGTCTGAGATAAACAAGGCTTGAACAATACTACCTAAGAAGAGAAACAGCAAATTAAAAAGTAGCTAATAATGAACTTAAATATCACAGAAAAATTAATTCTTCTGTAATAAGTAAAACTATTAAAATGCTTAAACTGGATCAAATTTCAAAGTAAATTTCAACTGTTAAGTCTTTTTTAAAACTTCAAAACCAAACTTTCAACTTCAATCTATTTCTAGGTGAAAGTCCAGCAAAAGACACACACCATCATTATATAGCTTTGCACTCTCCTCCTCCTCTAACTGCTCAAAAGCAGTGACAAAGTCATCCTCTATGGAAGACACAGACTGGTTCGTATCATCATCATCATCTTCATCAGCGGTCTCAAGATGGTGCTTCTGATGCAAGTGTGTGTCCAGGGTGTGTCTTATGCCAGCAGCATATTTACTCAGGAGACTAAAGATGAAATCAATTCTGAGTCCTGGTAATTTAGGAGACACTCTCATGACACAAAGCATTCCAGGATGATGACTCTTGGAAGAGATGAAAGATAATAAAATCAGTTTTAAGTTTAAATATAAAATATTACCTGGAAGTGAAGCCTAGAAATAAGTCAGGGGGAGGGAGAGCAAGAAATGTATGCATCCTGAAAGGTCCCTTAACTCTGCAATGTTTAATGATTTTAAATATTTAATTTTTCTAAAGTTATCTAAAGAAGTATATTTCTATTTAAATCTCACTTTAATATTTTCCTTAACAATCTTTTTTTCTCCCATGTATTCAGATTCTTCCCTCTCTATCTCCTTAGATATCATAGAACCTACTGTCAATCTAGTCTCTTGGGAAATTATTTTTTTCTGTATTAGTGTATATGTTTGTAATGTGTCTTACTTAATCATTTACCAAACTCACCCACTACACTGTGAATGATTAAGAGCTATAAGAAATATGGAATAAATATGAATCTATCTAAAAATAGATCCAGGATCTACTTTACTTGTTATTCCATTTTCCTATAGCTCCCAGCATGTCACCTTCCCTCCTACCAAAAAAAGAACTATTCTTATCCTTTTAATTTATATTTCTCTAGTATTAAAACTTACAATTATGCTTATAGCTTAGATTAAGAACACAAGCCATTAGTTTTCCCTATGCACACTGATTTTTAAATGCAAACATTGATAAGGAATTTATTTTTAAAAAGGAGAAACCAAATATAACAGATAGTCATTCTTTATGTCCCAGCAAATGAAGCCAGTATATATGCATGAACAACATGACCCAGGAAGCAAGGTAGAATTCTAATCATCAGACTTCAAGATTAGCAAATCAGCATTTTAAAGCTAGAATAAGTTCTCCAAATTGTAAAGTATTCATACAATTTTAAATATCACACTTCCTAAAATGCAAAGCATTTTTCTTTCATACATTATCAAAAATACTTACTTATGAACTAAAGACTGTCTTAGGAAAATAACATCACTGTCCATTTTACATGGATAAATCTTTAACCAGAAAGTTAACTGAAACTCCATTTGCTAGAACATGCAGCATGGAACACATGTAAATATGGGGTAACCATGAAGTGGGAGCAGTCACTCACATTATACAAAGAAATCTGAAGAGTAATATTTCACTAGAAAATTAGTATGTGCTTGCATACTGCTGAGAGAACTTCACAGGGGGGAATTTAGTAGTTTATACGCCACAATCAAAATTATTCTATTCTTCAAGGCTGGCAATGCTTTGTTAGATTTTTATCAATACCATTTTCTTGAGACTTAATTAAAATAACAAGAAAAGCTCCAACCACTTAAAAGTTCACTATTAATGAGCAAATATAGTAAAAACCTGCCCTGAAAAACCTGATTAGAAATGATCCATGAGTTACCTGATTTAGAGGACTACTGCTTACAGCTGACGATTTACTGACATCCTTCATACAAATGATTTCATTTTCACTTAGACTGCAGAAATGGAGTGAATTCAGAAGGTCTGGAAGTTCCAGTGAAACTGCCGCTAGATCCTAGTTTTAAATAATAACAGTGACAGCAATGAGTAACACTATAGAATAACACTGTCAAGGTGTCCACACACTGTCCATATCAAAAAACCATAAAACTGGTCAATAAACTGCTTCATAACAGCTCACATATACAGTTAATCCACAGAGAGTCATTTTTCAAACTCAAAAATAAAGCAAACTAAGGCTATTTAGTACTGATTTATAGTTTTCAAGCGCATTGCTGTTGCTCTACCTAATCAATTTTAACAGGGCTCCTCATACATCTATGACATTAATATCTAATTGTTTTCTAGCAACTGTCATCCAGAAATCCTTTGGTGTGACTAGTTTTTCATACAGAAAGCTACTGAACACCCTTCTTCAGAGCTCGAGTTTTAACTCTGCAAAATACAAGTCCATTTTTTCTGAAGGTATTGTAGTAAGCCTTCAAAGATTTATGAAGGCTAAAGGAAAGGTAGCTTTCTTTTTCACTTCCTCTCCTTTTTTTAGTAACTTTTTTTTTCCAGCTCAAGACTCATTCAAGTCTTCAACCCACAGAGAGTAGAGGCTTTGTAAATATGGTCTTGTCTGCAGCTCCTAAGGACCAATAGAACACTTCACAAGTGCTTTTGTGTTTTGATTTTGAGACAGTTGCCGTCTGTAGCTCAGGCTGGTCTGGAACTAGGCAGCCCTAGCTGGACTCACAGTGGTATACCTGCATCAGTCTTGCACGTCCAGTTATATATCTGTATGTTGTCTAGAGAGAGACTGTGAGCTGCCGTAGGAAGGCTGCTTGCTCGTTCCAGACACCAGAAAGAACTAATATAGAATCATCATGTCTAACAGCAGCACGAGGAAGAACTATATTTACAGTATCTTACAATTGTCAAGCTTTCCTTTACTAGACTCAAATGTCCATTCCTCTATAAATGCCTAAATGAAACAGGCTAGAAACATGTGCACTAATTCATAAAAGTGTTAATTTGATCTCTTATATTTAATTCTACTTTAATAAAAATACAAGAACTTTTACTGCTAAAGTCAAATTATGAAACTTATTAAAATATACAAGTCACATACAGTATAATGGAAATAATCAAGAAAATGGCCTGTGGTTTAAAGCTTCCAGCTAAATGATTTTGATAGTCAAACCTAAAGCTCCTTTCCAGAGCAGAATTACCGGCAAAAAGCCAGGCATGATAGCACACAGTACTATCGCAGCCTATGGGAGGCTGAAGCAGGATTTCTACAAGTTCAAGGCTAGATAAAGGATATATAACAAGATTTTGTCTCAAAAATAACAACAAAGGAATTCTTAATAAAAATGTTGAAAGTGAAAATGTATATACCACACTCAAAATATTGATCTCAAATGTCATTTTTGCTTTGGGGAGATAGGGTGCGAAATGAAGGGAAGGAACTCGTTGTGCAGCCCTGGCTGACCTGGAACACATTATACAGAACACCCTGGTGCTAGGCTGGTCCTGAACTCAAAGACTAGCCTGTCTTTGCTTTCTGGGTTCTGGAAATAAAAGCATGCACCACTATGTCTAGCTTCAGCCTTATCTTTTAACTTAAAAAGATACCTTAAAATTTTAAATTTTGAGCATTAAAGTAAATTTTTAAAATCTTCAAAAATTTTAAGTACTCTCCCAGTCTTTGCCAATTCAATAAATTGACCACACCTGTATATGAGCAGCATCTGTTTCTTCATTAAAGCCCAGAAATGTGACCTGAATCAAAAAATAAAAAGGAAGAAAAAGAAATCTCCATTACTTTACTTTTTAAAGTCTGTCTCAGAGTGTTAAGCACAGAAAGCACTGAGTACATTGGACAGGTAGTATTTCCAATGATCACGGTTTCCATCACACTGTAGCTCTTGAAACTCCTACCCCTCATCCACCTTCCCTTCTAGCAAACTCACCCAACTGCACCCTCAAAGCATAGCTCAACATTCCTACTCATCCCCATCCCCACTGCCATCCCTCTTTCCTCCACTATCACTGTCCTTGTCCACTGTCATGCCACTTGTCCATGCTTCCAAGTGTTGTTAGTGGATGCCTTCAAGCTGCCCTCATTTTTATTCAAACCCACGGCCTCCTTTTCTAGGTCTAACGCACGCCCTGTACATGACTGCTTAAGGCTACTGTCGCTGTATCCCCTTGACATGACTCTCTTCCTCAGACACTTCTAGGCCTGGCTCCTCTTCTTCCTACAAGTTCTTCCTCCAGAAGCCTTCTCAGAGAAACCTTCCTTGTGTAGATCCCCCAGGCTCCTTCACCATTGGGTGTGATTCTCCCAACACTCCCTTCAGCACCCTCCAGCTACTCCCAAAACAAGGTCACAGACATCAGATTTCTATGTATTTTCTAATGGCATGAGGAAATATATTAAGTAAAAAGAACAAACTACAAAAAATACATAATATGCACATAACTTGTTCTTTATTCTTAAAAAAACATAAACATGAAAAAATAATACTGAAAGGCAATGTACCAAACTAGCTAGCAGTGAGTAACTGGCAAGTTTCCTATGGCCTTATTTTCCTCACTATTGTCCTATGTTCTCTTCTTCCTAACTCACAGGACAACATTCACTATTTTTTTTAAAAAAAAAATTCTCAGTACTCCAATTTTTCTACAAAGAATATAGACTGAAAAGCAATTTTTTAAATGTATATTTATGTCCTTGTCATACTAGCACCTTTCCTTTTGGAAAAAAATTGTGAATTATCTACCAAGTAAGTGCTGTTTCTAGAAATATTTAAATAATAGCAATTAACGCACTGGGGAGAAGTGGGATGGTTAAGATGTAAAACTACACTGAATACCCTGACTCTTTTCGGAAGACTCAGAAGATAATCAGAAACTAAAATTACCCTGACACTTTACTCTCACGAACTATGGCTACTAATTCAGTGGAGTGTTAGGTACCCTCTGGGCATCTCTCTCAGCATCTGGCAAACTATTAACCTATAGAAGTCTGTTTCTCATAACATTTCCAGGCAATATAGTTTCTCTCCCTAAAACATAGGCACTTATTTCTTTCCTTTTTTCAAACAGATATTTATGTTCCTAGATTTTATGCAATCACATAAAAATACGCATTTATGTATTAAATGAAAGGAGAAGTAAAATTGTCTCGAGAGACACCGATTAACAGAAGAGAAGGGATGTAGGGAGGGAAGGTATGGGTTTACAGTATAGGGAAACAAATGTGATATATAATATATACCTGTAGGAAAACTTAAATGACAACAACAAAATTTTAAGTCAGCCACTGCCAAGTTGCAACAGTACTTGGTATTCAGATATACTTGGCGTAACATGAACCAGTACACTGGGAACAGGAAAAAAAAGAAGAAGAAGAAAAGAAAACTCAGGTATTTGAGATATCCATACCCTAAAGTGGGACGGAAATCTCTTCTATTCTTTCAAGTTTTCCTGCTGAACACAAAAGAAAAAAAAAAAAAAAAAAAAGGATGTCACTGGGTCCTGGAGATACCAAGGGAGTCTGCTACTGGTGACAGGGAAGACCTCATGAAGGAAACATGGGCATGTGAACAAGTAGGGAGTACAGGCTCCAAAACTGAGTGGGAGGGCACAGGAGACTTATCACACATGGCAACAACTTAGTGAATTAAGAATGGCTCAGTCCTACTAAGATAAAGTGAAAGAGAAAGGCAAAGAAGATAAATCAAGCAACACAATTAGCTAGCCGAAAATGGGGAGATTCAGGAGGCAGAACACTCGTCTAACAGGTTCACTCTTCTTTCTAGGGAACATCAGGTAAAGAATCCCTCAGGAATAGGAACCTCCCACCACCAAGCAAGAAAACAAAGTTTATTAGAAACCTCATTTCAGCCAGGCAGGGTTGGTCAGGTCTACAAAATGAGTTCCAGGACTGTTACACAGAGAAACTCTATCTTGAAAATCCCCCTCCAAAAAAAAAAAAACTCATTTCAAAAAGGACAGTTCTAAGTCTGAGTACCAATTTTTATCTGTGAAGACCGAATATCACTTTTTTTGATCATAGATACTAAACCTAGTCTCTGTACATGCTAGGAAAATGATCTATCCTCAATAGTCTGAGTCCTAATACCATATTTCTTAATTTGTAATATGGATGTGATGATGGTACACAGATGTTTTAAAAAATATTACTCTTTCGCTGGGCGGTGTACGCCTGTAATCCCAGCACTTGGGAGGCAGAGACAGGCAGATAGATCTCTGTGAGTTCGAGGCCAGCCTGGTTGACAGAGCAAGTGCCAGGATAGGTTCTAAAACTACACAGAGAAACCATGTCTCAAAAATCAAAAGAAAAAACATTATTTCTTTTAATAACAATAAATTCAAACAAAGATGAAAACACGGGCTATAGCAGATAAACAGATGAGAAAGATAAAATATATAAACAATAAACTTATCCTATTTCCAAGTGGTAAGTATCTTAATTCCAAAGACAAACTTCCTACTTTATACTTTAAATCAAAGCTCTCAAACAGTCAAGAAAAGAACTAAAAAAGTGACTACATGAAATAAGTGTATTTTTTTATGTTTCAGGATTAAAAAAAAAACTTAGTATAAAAGTTGCAGCCACTGATTAGCTCTACCTGCCCAAGGAGAGGCTAGTAACACCTCTGCACTTACAAACAGGCTGATAACAGCCAATGAAGTTAGCTATGATTTAAAACATACACTTATTTTTAAATCACATTTTTTATTAATTATTTAAGAATTTCACCCAGTGTATTTTGATCATATTCACCCCCCCAACTTATTAACCACTACCCCACTTCCCACCCAACTTTGTTTTCTCTTAAAAAAAAAAATCAGGTCCAATTTGTGTTGCCCAAATATTCTTAATATTAGGTATGAGGCCTGCATTGGAGCATGGTCAACATACCAGGTCACACCCTCAAAGAAACCAACAGTCTCCCAATACCTGTGTTAGAATTATGTACTATTTTTTTTTTAAAAAAAAAGAACCTGTAGTCCTACAAAGGTGCATAAAAACATATTGTGCTTGACTGGGAAAGGGTTCAAAAATTCATGTGCAAACCTCAGTGAAATGGGCGTGTTCATCCTGGTTTAAACACTCTCCTCCGGATACACTGCATAGCTCCTTCTCACTTTGTAATAAAGACTTTACAGACTGGAACACATCTTCACTGAAGCTCTAGGAAATAAATAAACAAGACAACTTAATTCTAAGATATGGAAGAGAGCTAAGTTACTGAGTTTTATAGAGTTACTCATTCATCAATTAATTCATTTGACACTTTTTGATATTATTTGATAGACTCAGTTCAGCTAAGAAAAAAAAAGTCAAATTACTCAAAGACCATACAGGTCTTACGCTCCAGATCTATTTACACTTTCCCTACACTAAAATTAACAATTGTCGCATATTTTATTTCCAAGTCACTAGCCTCACTCTGCGATCCTGACCTACAGAAACGCTATCCATGCCAAGACTGAAGATCTCCCCACCCCTTACTCTAATTTTCTCCTATACTCTTTTCAGATTAAAGTCACTTGATCTACGTCATAACATATTATGATTATAATACTCATGTTTATTTTTCTACCCATTGAGGCAAATCACGGAAACTATATTCCATTCACTTTATCTTCTCACATTTTACATCAAGTCAACAAATAGCTGCTAACTATAAAAAATTCATTAAATACAAATCTATAATTTAAGAGATAATACTATTCAAGAAAAAAGTATGTAACGTTAAATTTCAATCTCACCTATTAACATGAGCCCATATTTCTTTATATATATAACCTTTTCCACTGAAGGGGCTTGGAAGCAATGACCCCCAAGTAGCAATGAGCAGATCCCATACCCAGATTTGGGCTTTTAAATATCAATCATCAATTAAAATAACCAGAGTGCCTCAAAAATAGTCTGGTTCCAGATCATAGACAGAGAACATACAAAAAAAGCTACACCATCTAACTGTGTCAGACAACAGGGAAGTGTTCACCGACTAATAGGGCAATTTCAAAAGAACACAGAAGTCAGTGTATTAGCCAGGAATCCCTGCTGGCTAAATCTGGAATAATCAGAGCATCAAAAAGAACAGAAATGATAATGCATCATAACTCCTGTATTCAGTTCTACAGCATGCTTTTTTATCTATGATCACTGGTTGACAAATATGGACAAACTAATTCCATTAGAAAATCTTTTTGTAACTCTCAAGGTAATTAACTGATTTGGAAAGAGTTATCAATGTATCCTAAATCTACTGGGTTAAAAGCTTTGGGGATACACATTTCTCAAACTATCATGACATAGTTTTCTTACTAAACACTTAATAAAAGTTATTCTGCATTTATATTAGAGACAGCAGATGGTTACAATCCTGATCACTTCCTCAAAAACATCAACAATATGCTTCTCCTAACCTGACAGCAAAGAAAACAAAGCCTTTGAGGTATTCCAGATGAACAGAATTACACTGAAAACTAACTTGGGGTGTTTTACTGGCTGTTTTTCTCATGTGGTATCATGAGAAAAAAAATCTACACCACTGGAATGACCTAAAATGGTGGTAATAAAAATACTCAAATGCAGTATGTAAGAAACCTTGAGCAGACTCTAGGTAAGAAACAGGAAAAGGTTGTGAGGGCATCTGAGACGACTGGGGGGAATACATCTGACTAGATGTCAGATGCAGTTTCAGACAAACAGTTTTCTTAGGAGTATAAATAAAACACATAAAACAAGGTCCAAAGAGCATTTTCCACACAATTACTAAGAGAAACATAAGGTTTGCCCAACGAAAGAGTGGATATGGCAAGATGCTAACAGAAGGTGAATCCGAGTAGAAAATACATGAATTGCTTATGGTTCTGAGTTTTTTCCCAACTATTCAGTAGACTTTAAAACTGCCAATATGTACAGTTTTGTTTTCATTAATGAATGAAGGTTTTCACCCTAATCTGTGAACATAAACAAGAAAAAAGTATAAATATGAGCTTGAAGTATCAATAAAAATTCATGACATTCTTAGAGCAAATGGCATTTCTAGGCAGAAGTCACTACAAATAAAACTGCAAGGTAAAAGTCTGAGTTCAGAGAAATATAAATAAATTTCAAATATGAGAGGGTAAACGATATACTTGCTACCATTAGAATATGACGATCTTACAGTATAAAGGTCAGAAAAATGACATTGGTGATTAAAAGGCCTTTACCCATCCTCACCCACCTTAGATGAATAAGCATTCTAAAAAGAGAGAAGAGTCATCAAAATATAACAGAACAGCAAGGAAAACAAACACCTTAATGAACTCAAAGATCTTGTTCACGGGCAAGGTCAACAGGGTCATAAGAAGAGGCTGAAGTCCAGGAACTGACTCACCAGACAGCATCCTCTAATTTCCTTTCTTCTCTTCTTCCTCTAGTTATAGCAGACACAAAACCCAAAGTCGGGATGCAGACTAAGCGAACTGGTTTAGGAGGAGCAAGTAATGATGAGAACTAACGGCCAAGCCTGTCGCTACAGGCTTGCACCCCTTGCTACCTGGGAGGATAGGCAGGAGCAGCGGCGAGCTCGAGGCCTGTCTGGCACACAAAACTACCTCAAAGTCAGCCCAGCTAATGCACTAAGACCGTATATCAAAATAAAAAGCAAGAGGGTAGGAAGAGGGTGTGAAGGGGGGCTAGGAACACAGCTCAGTGGTAGAGCAACTTATTAGCACATACAAGGCCTTGGGTTCAATTCACAGCACCATTCACACAAGAAAAGTAATTTTTCACTACTTCATGAATTATTCAACATCTAGCATAGTCCTGACATGCAATAGGCACTCAAATATATTATGCTGAATAAATCAATGGTTAATATTTCTTATACACTTTTAAGGTAGTGATAAAGATATATAAGATAGTTAACTCAAAAAAAATCAAGACGCTCAATGAGTGGGACTCCAGGCATTGTAATGGCGTTGACTGGCGACAGAAGTTGGACTCTCAGCGCGGAGCTGTCATCGCCACTGAGCTGAAGAACAACAGTTACAAGCTGGCCCGCTGGACCTGCTGTGCTTTGCTGGCCGGATCTGAGTACTTGAAGCTCGGGCATGTGTCCCGGTACCATGTAAAAGACTCCTCGCGCCATGTCATCCTGGGCACCCAGCAGTTTAAGCCCAATGAGTTTACCAGCCAGATCAACCTGAGCGTAGAGAACGCCTGGGGCATCCTACGCTGTGTCACTGACATCTGCATGAAGCTGGAGGAGAGCAAGAACCTCATCCTCAAGGACCCCAACAAGCAGGTCATCCGAGTCTACAGCTTGCCTGATGGCACCTTCAGCTCCGAGGAGGATGAAGAGGATGAGGAAGAGGAAGAGGAGGAAGAAGAAGAGGAAGAAACTTAAATGAGTCGTCTTGGTGCCTGCGTGTGTTCCACCCAGCTGGGCAGCGTGTCTGTGGTTCCTGCTCTCTGAGGCAGATAGAATAAAAAATAAGTGTTTGGCTTCTTTCCTTCAAAAAAAAAAAATCCAGATGGAAAATGTCTGTGCAGAAATGGGAGGCATGGTGCTCTGAGCAGTAAGATTCTAGAGACTAACATCATTACAACCATGACTTCACACCACTGTTTTCACACATGCTCACCTTTGCAGTATTTTAATGTTAGAAGTTAAGTACTGAGCTTCATTTAAAAACTAGAAAAGAACCAACATATTTTTTAATCTTCACTGAAAGGAACCTAATACTGTGGACTTACTTTCCGGACAGATGCTTTGTTCTTTATGTGACTGCTCCTGAAAGGCTGGAAAGCCGCCATAATTGTACCACTGCAGTATGCAATCGCTGAAGAGTAAATTCACAAAACACCTAAAGGAGACACATGAAAAGAAAACAACTTATTTACTCATTTTTGTGATTCAAGCAAGCATTTTATACTAAAGAATTTCTTCAAATGTATGCATTTAAAGAAAAATATGAACAAAAGTACTGAGACCTAAAAGCTCATTTAGCAACCCTAAGTATGTTATGTGGGGAAACCATTTATAAACCTGGACACTGTCACAATAAGAAATTCATTTCCGTAGCCGAGAGCCACTCATCTATCCCTGAAGCAACACTAAACACTGCAGCTATTACTACCCCTGCAACTGAAGGTTTTAACACTACACAGGTAAGAATGTGAAATTTGTACATGTACTGTAAAATTACAGGTGAATAAAACCAAAATCCTCATCTGAAATTTGAGCGTATACCAATGCCTACAGTTCAGAAAGGGACTGGTAGAATTACATACCTCATACACAAAGCTCTCAAACTAATACTGAACTTTTTAATGATGCTTTCATAAAAAACTTTTAGGGACTTCAACCGACTAAGAGCATTACGCAGCCAGCCAGCTGCTATATCTGTATAGAATGCTGTCCATTCATTTAAGGTCTGCTCGTGCCACACACTAAGGACAGTGAGAAAACAATGGTGTTATTGGACCCAGAGCTTCATGGGGAAACGTTTGATTACAGCAAACGGTAGAAGCTGAGAACTGAATTCTTAATAAAAACAAAAAATTAAAGCAATAAATAAATAAGAAAAGTTGAGTTAAGTTTCAGTATCTTCAGTGAGTTAAGCGAGTCTCTTCAAGGCATGCCTATTTGAGGTTTCTAAGTCAGTCACTTCAACACAACTTCATTCTAGGCATCTCCCCAGATTTTAAAAAGACTAAATTTTAGTAAAGTGCTAATTTCATATTCTATTTCCATACTTTCACTACAGAGATAAAACTGAGGTGTGAGTGTATATCACACATTATCTCTCTGTCACTGTTCTATTGCTGCAAAGAGACACAATGACCATGCCAACTATTAGAAAAGAGAGCATTTAATTGAGCACTTGCTTACAGTTCCAGAGATTTAGCCCATTATCATTATGGCAAGGAGCACAGAGACATGCTGCTTTGTATTTAACTTAAGTCAAATACCTACCAAAAGAATATCTGTGCAATGTAAAAGAGAATCCGTATGGAATGATATGGCACTCTTCTGGGGAAAATAAACAAAACAAAAACTTTGGAACTGCAAAGACAGGTGAAGGACAAAGAAAAACAGCAAGGGAGGATTATTCTAGTTTACAACTGTCCAAGCAAACATGCAACATCTTTCCATAAAATACAGTTGTAACAAGCTGAACACTTGATACCTGCTTATGCCCTGTTCTGGATGAGTAAAGAATTCTAATCAAGGAATCAGAATACAGTAAAGAAATAAGAGGGAACTTAACTGAAAAGCTAGTGCCAAGAGACAAGCCTAGCAGAACGCAACAGCTAGAAGTGGAATAGCTAGAGCTCAGGGAAGAAACAGGAAATAAAAACTGCTAACAAATCTCTTAAGGAACAACAAAAAGCAATATACATCAGGAAAAAACAGACGTAATACAAACAACCGCACACACATATCTAGAAGAAAAAAATCACAAAATTCATAAAGAGAATAAAAACAATTAGAGAAAAACTCAGAACAGAGATGCAGGGTGCTGAACAAATATATCCACCTCTGATCCTGCAACTTCACATCTCAAACCTTCCTGCATACACGCTTCCACAAAACTCACAAAAATAGTGCAAGACTGGTCAGTGAGCCAGAAATAAAAACTAAAAATAATCTATAAGTTTTTTGTTATCCAGATGTGGAAAATGACGAGGAAGCAGATTTGCAGAATGCTGCAAATGATTTGCACAAACCTAGGAAAGGAAACATTTTGAAAACAGTTCCAGAAACTGATAACAAGAACTTTTTTAATGTTATAAAATACCATCTATCTGATTTTATGAGAAGATAGAAAAATTTTCAAATAAAATAAGGCCAGTTCCAGCATGCATGCATTATCCCACCCAGTGTAAAATCTGTAACTGAGAGTGCATAAACGTAAACACACACATGCATAGAGTAGGCAGACTATATATATATATATATATACATACATATATATGTGTGTGTGTGTATGTATATATATATAGTAGGGGTTTCATCATGGATAATTATCTTCTATTTTTCTGGATGCACATAAATTCTTCAATGATTTAAAAAAAGCCACAACTTCTCAAGCCTTCCTACTTCATCTCCAGTTTAAGAATTGTTCAACTCAACTCCACCTGTAACTTGACCTTTTTATAATCAGAGGACTCAGGCCCACCAGTAATTACACCTCACAACTCACGATCTTCACTAGCTATCAAATCAAGATGTATAAATCAGATTGTTTCTAAAGCCACACACTTAGAAGATCCAGTTTCGTCAATATTATTTTTTTCCATTAATCCTTGTCCTCATTGGATTTCTTCCCTTTTAGTTTCCCAAAGATAATTTATCTGTGGTTTAAACTACACAATTAAGTTCCTAATTTAGAGTTTCAGTTCTGTCCTATGCTTCAGTTTCAAATCCTCTTATCTAATTGTTCTACTAGACATTGACAAGTAAGTATCTCTGCTAAGGTTTGGACATGGCCTGCCCCTAGAGGCTCACATCCTAGAGTTGGTCATGAGAATGGTAAAGATAGTGGAACATTAAAGAGTTGAGGCTCTGGGGATCTCTAGACCCTGGAGGCACAGCCTTCACAAATAAATTATTGTTGCTCCATAGCAGTTCTGGCTCCCCTGGGACAAGATTAAGTTAGACAGCAGCTCCTTCCAGATGTCCAGCTTCCAGTCCCTTCACTCAATCTCTTCCTCCAGCACAAACTTCGGCCATGATATCATCTACCATGTTGTGATTTATCTAGAAAGCCTTGACTAAAGGCTAAAAAAGTAGAGCTACTCAATCTGGGGCTTTGAGTCTCTAAATCTGTGAGCTAAATAAATCTATTCTCTCCAGAAATAACTCACCTTAAGTATCTTGTTACAGCAACACAAAACAGACTAAGTCAAGTATAGTTACTATAAAAATAGGTATGGTTAAGCCAGGCGTTGGGGGGGGGCACACCTTTAATCCTAGCACTCCAATGCAGAGGCAGATGTGTCTGAGTTCGAGGCCACCCTAGTCTATAGAGGGAGTTCCAGGATAGTCAGGACTACACAGAGAAACTCTGTCTCAGATGGAAAAAATAAAAAGTATGCTTAAAACCCAAATAAAGCTTCTCTAAACACTCTCCAATTTATTTCATTAAAAATCAGCAAACCAAGGTCATAGAGTCAACCACAACTTGTCCTCAATCCATACTGTTGATCACAACTAATAAATGACCAATCCCTGCTATGTCATGCTCTAAACCCACTCACTCACTCAGCTAATCAGCACTCATTCTTCATGCATCTTCAAGGATCTCTCTCTGAGGAAAGCTTGACTCTTCTCTCATCTTTCCCTCCCCTTTCCCAACATTCAACATCTCCTTTATTCTTCCAAGTGGTTTGTCCTTTAATTTTCAGGTGCCATTGTTTGCATACATCTATTTTGTGAGCTCAAATTTGTATCTGAACATGGCAGGATTAAAATAGTTGTTAAATAAAAAGTAATCTTATGATTGTACATACATATAATCTTAGGTTCAGGGCTGAGGCAGGATTAAGAGGTCAAGGCTGGTATGCAAGACTCTCAAAAAATAAAATAAATCTCATTTGAAATATGTAATAAGTGTATTTTAACACATACCAAATGGCAAAGTTTTAAAAACTAACTTTCCATCGAACTACAACAAAACAGTATAACATACATACAAAACACTGGTTTTCAAACATCAGACAACAGCAATGCAGGGTGTGACTGATACCTCAGAAAGGAAACATTGCCTGCCAGCTACTTCCAGGTCACAACACAGGATAGCAAAGTCTGGCAGTCACAGTGAATTTTGCAAATGAACATTCATATTATGGAACAGAGTGTTAAAGGGAGAATGCAAAGACAGTAAGAGCTCCAGAGGGCTGAAAGAGGGTTTCCCTAGAACTTTTAGCTAAAATAAGACTGTGCACCTGAGATTGGGGAATTAACGAGAGAGCAGTGTACCAAGCAGTATTTAAGACCAAACAAGGTTTGGAATGGTTCACACTCTCACTGAGCAGAGTAGGGAAAACAAAACTTTCTTGTTGTGGCTCATCAGGCAAGAGTCAGCTCTGGAAAAGTGCATATCAAGTAATAACGAAAAAGTCAACTGTGGGCAAACAATAAAAGATGAACATGCAAAGGAGGAAAATCTGACACTAACAGGAAGAAGGAGGACAAGTGTAGACCTAGAAGTGATACAATGAAAAAAAAAATAACAATGAGAATCAGAGGAGAAAGACTGTGACGTTACAGTGTTATGGTGTGTGATGGTTGATCTTGGTTGTCAACTTGACTACATCTAGAATCAGTGAAAGCCCAAGCAGCTGGGCCACTTGTGAGGGATTTTCTTGCTGTTTGGGTCATTTGAAGTCAGAAGACAGTGAAAGCCCACAGATGTGAGTCTTGCTCTGATGTGGAGATCCTTCTATGTGTTGCTTTTATTAGTTAATGAATAAAGAAACTGGCTTGGCCTACAACAAGGTAGAACTTAGGAGGGAAAAGCTAGGCTGAATGATGCAAGAAAGAGGGCAGAGTCAGAGAGAAGCCATGGGGCTGCTGGAGATAGATGTTGTAACTTTGCAGGTAGGCTACAACCTCGTGGTGATGCACAGATTAACGGAGATGGGTTAAATTAAGATGTAAGAGTTATCAAATAAGAAGCTAGAGCTAATGAGCCAAGCAGTGATTTAAATAACATAGTTTCTGGGTGATTATTTCGGGTCTGAGCAGCTGGGCAGCCAGGAAACCAACAAGGGACCCCTCTTACAACATTGTTCCACCTTGACTAAAGGTCAGAGAGTTTGAGCTTATTTTTACTCTTTCAAAGAAGTTGACAACAGGTGTGGCTACAACCAAGAAATCCTGACTGAGGGTGTGTTTACTTGGTGTTTTAGACATTAAGGCGAAGAGGTGAATCTGCTCCACCCTGACCAAAGGTCAAAGAATTCAAGCCTATTCCTGCTCCTTCTTTAAAATAGGAGGTTTGACATAGGGAGTGGCTGCCTACAGGATATTTGGTCTAAGCTGGATTCAGTACATATACTTCCCCCCACCCAAAAAAACCAGAATGCTTAACTCAGGAAATAGTGGCTTGATGTCTCAAGTACTAAAGCAATTAATTATTAACTATTCTGGTTGCCTCTGTATCATGTTTAAGTGGTCTTTTGCCTTCTTCTCTCACTTTGAATTGGGGTATATAAACATATAGAAAATAAATACAGGCAGATTCAGTATTCATTGAGTTGTTCTCTGGATACTATTCTATGTCTCTGTATTTCTTTGTAGCTCTGTCTATTCTGCCTAACATTTCTAATCCACACATCCCTACTCTAGAACGCATGAACCTATTGTGTCTGGACCACAACAAATGTAACCCCAATATATGGTCTATGACAGAAGACCCATCTTAAATCCAGATCATGTGAGGACAGGAGACCCACCCTAAATCTGGGCTACACCTTCTTATGGTAGCCTACATAAAAGGACATGGAAGAAGAAAGCTTTTGCTTTTTGACTGTTTGTTGTCATTCTTGCTGACAAGTTCATTTATCCTACTGCTGAGGCATTCCTCACTGGTATTAAGAACCTAACTCTTCAGGATTCCAGCACAGACTAAAGACCAGTCAAGACACTGAACATCATGAATTGAACAACTACCAGATTTTGAGCCTTTCTATTAGGAGACAGCCACCGTTGGACTAGCTAGCCTACAGCATGTAAGCCACTCTAATAAATTCCCTTTTAATATATATTGCTCCACAGAATCCTGACACTGTGTTCCACACATACAAGGGTAAGGAAAACACAATCATGATAAAGGAAGAAACACTAGATACCAATGACTAAAAGAGAACTTCTAAGAAGGCAAGAAGGGGAACCCTGCAGGTGGGTAGATTAAGCAAACAGGAGTGGGTGAGGAAGTGGAAGAGAGAAGAGGCGAGGAGTCAACCAAAACCAAGGATTATGAAAAGCCATACATATGCATCATACTTGGTGAGCTATCTTAAAAA